AACATCATATTTGTGTTTCTCAGTGTTACCATTAGAAATGTGTGTTTTCTTATTTAACCATGGAAGTCCACTTTGGACAGAATGTTACACAATATCAACCTTCTCTTTTATCAATTCTCTATGGAAAACAGAATGCCACTGTAGAACTAAAATGAAGCTTAAGCAGAGCATTCAGGCCTATTTATAAGAACATCCAGATGTCTAGCACTTTATGCCTTTTAATGGGTATTTATTTGTGTTCACACAGTTGGTTAATGATAGGATATAATTGACAAGACTAATTCAGAAAATATGAGTGTTAAATCAGTAGCTCTGTACTGAGGGTATACTGAAGCACTTTAATCTGTTTGAATTTTATGTTTTAAATATAGATAAGTGTTACATTGTTGTTTACAATGTTGTACTATTTATACAAGAAATATATTAATTATCACAAGAAACATCTGACTAGCTAAGTTGAGAAACTATGCGTAAAGAGGGCCAGAAAGAAACTGAACATAAGATATAACTAGAACCGAAGTGAAGAGTGGCTGGCTATTATTAGTTCTAATTGTATTAGAGTAGCAACATTCACATTCACAGAGGGCAGAGGAGTTCAGGTTGTACAGAAGTAAGACCACTCCAGAAAGGCAGGTCAGTGCAGAAGGTAGGTATGTGCTAAATTCATGGTTTTGTGAATTGGGCTGTCCCATCTGGGGAAATACACTACATCTGCATAATGCCTGAATATTTGGATGGGGTGCAGGGAAGGCAGGAAGGTGAAATCCTACCCTCCTCAAGTGACCAGTGAGCTAACCTCCAGGTTAGAATTGCCACTCTGTGCCGCTTACACAGGGTTCGAGTGCCATTGGATCCACATTCAGGCTGAAGTTTGCCCTGCTCTCAGCCTGCCTCAGCACACCCCCAAAGTGGGGAGGGTGTAAATTTCACTTCTCTCCTTTATCCAATTTCACCACAAGAGACAGCCCAGCCTGAGACATGGCTATCACGTTAGCACACGCCTATCCTATCATCACTGTCATCAGTGTGTCAGCTGTGCATATGCTGGCGGAGTTCCACAGCTCATAAGCGGTCCCATCATGGCTGCTCAGCTGCCTTCCCCACTCCTCTCTCTCTCTCTCTCTCTCTCACACACACACACACACACACACACACACACACACACACACGTTTAAGCAATGTGGAGGATCTTGGTAATATACCTGTAATATCATGAGATATAATAGGAGGAAGCATGGGAGTATAAATCAAGAGCCACTGCCTAAGTACAAATATTTTGCTGTTTAGCCCTAAGCTCTGCACTTTTCAGTCTTTGTATATAAGAATTTGGGGCAGAACAGATACCGAAACGTATCATTAATACATCATTGAGGATCCATGCATCCACTGTTGCATGTCTGTGTGTCCCGATGTTTATATTATATAGAAATCTCCCTGTAATATATTATATTGTATTTTTATTCAGGGCTTGTAATACAATCTAAGATAAATTTCTGTTTAAATCAGACAAAAATCAGAGTTTTTACATTATGCCCTTGTATTACAGGGAACATTTGTCATATTGGTATGTACTTATGCCCAATCTGTTAGTATCATAAATGTCATATAACAAATTTTAAATTGGATGGTGTAAACCAAAATTAGGAATTTTATTTCAGTCAAAAATGTGCAGTGTACAAATGTTATCTGTTATAAATTGTAGGCACGTTCAATAAAGAGTTAGAGAGAGTATGTTAGAAAATATTCATGCCCTTTTAAATATTAGTGTTGGTGCAGAAATGTACCGTATATACCGGCGTACAAGACGACTTTTGATGTTAAAAAACATCCCCCAAAAATCGGGGGTCGTCTTATACGCCGGTTATGCAAAGCCGCGGAGGGGCTCCAGCGGCGGGGCAGCCCAGGCGCGCCGTGGCTGTCCCACTGCCGGGGCTTCCTCAGAGGCTTTGCTCCCGGTGTCCCTGGTCTGCTGGGACACCGGGAGCAAAGGAGGCGGAGGGGCGCTGGGGTATAAGACGAAACCCTATCTTTTAACTAAAAAATTAGGGGGTCGTCTTATACGCCCAGTCACCTTATACGCCGGAAAATACGGTAGGCATTTGTCATTCTAATTCCATACACCTCTCTAGACTATACTCTTATTTTCAGTTCGTCAGATATACTCATTTTAGCATAATAAATATACTTTTTAATGGGACACTTTTTTTTTTAATTTGATGAAATATCTGTAGAAGATGTCCCTACAGCAAAATTATGTGGGGAACGTCTGTAATTTCCACAGGGTGAAAACAAAAGACCAAAATAATCAGTCTCAAGTGCCATGTTTATGTTGGGCTAGCAATCTTGCACTATGCTGAACTGCACAATAGAAAATAAAGTCCATTCCTAAAAGAGGAGCAGAGATTAAATTAATGATGACTCTACACAGCATCTTTACTCAGCATCTTTTTATTTATTTCATTAATTTGCAAAGTAAAGTGCAAACGGTAGGGGAGGAGCATCGCTTGTCGATGGTAAATCCTGAAAACATTTACACAGGCAAGTAATTTTATCACACAAATAGTCCACGTTGCTTTCAAATGGGACCTTTGTGTATAAAATTGCTCACATGTATGAGTATTTGCAGATGTACTTGTAAGGCTTAATCTAACTCTCATTGAAGTCTGGAGGTTGGATGAGGCATTTAATAAATGTATGTATATATGTCTCTTACTCCCATGCTTTTCATATACCTTATTTTCACTGGTATCTTGTTAACACCTGGAGAATTTCAACATAAAATCAGTTAATGTACACATGCTATAAATGAAATTAACTAATGGAAATAATCAAAATTCACCATTCTGAATGAAAAATCTTGAATACGTTATTTTTTTGAATAAGTTTTCCTCCAGTTATTGACTGGAGGAAAAAATGTTCTATGGATATTTAAGAAGGGTCTTGAGCAATATCAAAATAGGATATTTGCATTCTGAAATAAAGTACCCACACACAGTCAGGTCTACCTTATAAAATTTGTTGCCATAACTGTCAGCCACAGGTGTGGAAAAACATGTCTCCTAACTATCATAACTATGCTGCTAAAATCCCCGTTGTAGATGCAGCTACTGCCTTCTGACTTCTAAACTGCTTCAGTTGTCTTAGCCAATATAGCCCAGAGCTGTGATGTTACTATAGAGACAGAAAAACATAACCTGTGACTGTGTTTATGCTAGGAGTTATGTTGGAAAAGCAAAGACTGTGTAATGTAAACTACACAATTTGCACCGAAATAACAAAAGGTATAAATTAAAATGAATTTTAGTTCATTTGATATACAGGCAGTCCCCGGGTTACGCGGATCCGACTTATGTCGGATCCGTACTTACGAACGGGGCTTTTCTCGCCCCGGAGGACTCGGGCGGCGGGACCGCCCAGACCCGCCCCGCCCCCAGAAGACCAGGGAGACGCGGAGCAAAGCCGCGGAGGACGCGGGCAGACCAGGCCTTTCTTCCAGGGGCCCCAGCAGACCAGGGAGATGCGGAGCACCTTTTCTCCGCCCCGG